CTGAAGCGGATGGGATCGGGAGAAGGGCTCTCCCTCCCTCGCAGATGGGAAGCTTCCCGCGATGTGGGGCGCTCGCCCTCTCTCCCGCGCCCCCTTGCTCCTCCTGCCTCTTCTGCGGGGAGGATCTAAGCGGGGGGAGGAAGTCGCCCCTTTCGCCCAGGCTCTTTTGGGAGAGGGGAGAAATCTCTATGGGGGGAAAATGCCAGCCCGAAACGGCTCCTCCCAAGTCTTGGAGCTTTCTGCGATCATCAGCAACCAGCCCTGCCCAGATAATCAGGCTTCCTCGGGTTGGGCTCCCCCAAGTCGTTCCCGCCACCCCCTTTGCGGCTGCGGTGGTAGGCTCCTTTCCGCCGTAACAACAATCCAAGGCAGCACCATTATTAAAATGGAGGGGAGGAGCACAGCATCTCTCTCCCCCTTCCCCCTCTACAGCAGGTATGAATGGTACGGCCCGGTACCCAACAGCAGAGATGCAGGGACAGAAACCAAAGGATGCTGATGATGCCCGTGGTGCTGTGCTCTCCCATGGAGTTGATGCCGGTGGTGCCACTGCCTGTAATGCTGATGTTGACGTCATGGTGCCAGTGTCAGTGATGTCATGAAGCCAAAAGCTGTTTCATGGGAAACACTGGTCCAAGTGCACTGTAGTATTTAGCATTGCATCTCAAAATGACAGGCAGGATACCACCAGGGTGGGGTGGGGAAAAGACATTCACAAAGCCTGTCACGTAAGCTTTACCTTGATTTCTCCCAGTCTGGGCCTTCAGAGAGCCAGGGGACTGAGTGCCCATGGTTTGAGGTTAGATCTGTTTCATGCATTATATTTTATGTGGGGAACTCTAGAAACAGTGGTAGAAGGTGCACAACCACAGGTGCAAAGACTGCAAACAGAAGTATGGAGGCGGAACGACATGTGGCAGTGTGTATCATTTCTTATTTATTCATTTTTGTAGCACAATCAATGTATTAAGGTGCCTTGCAGATCAGAATCAGAAGCAGGCAAATTGTGTCTTCTCTTCAACCAGAGATGAGCAACTTGTGGTCCTACAGATATTGCTGGACTATAGCTCCTATCATCCTTCTTCACCAGCTATGCTGGTTTGGGTTGCTAGAAGTTGCACTTTGACAACAACTAGAGAGCCAAAAATCACCCACTCTTGTCTTACACGTGTGGACTCAAGATGAAGACAGTGTAGGTGTCTGTTTTATCCTAGGAATGCACAAATTGGAGCTGCTGTTAGCAGTGATTTTCCACAATAGCAAAAAGGGTGTATAGCTTACCTGATGACACACCTTTTTTCCTCCACATCTCAGTCTTAAGGGAGATAAGGTTAAAAATATAGATATTAAATAAGCAGGCAAACATGCACCTGGTTTGGAAAAATGAATGCACAGAGCTGTTTGGTCATAACCGATACAAGAATAGTGCAGCAGAGGAGGAAACTGAATTCATCACTGACTCTTCCCTATAAATATACGCAAAGAGAAAGTATGAGCACATTGGAAGCTAAACAGTAAGCAAGCATCATTTGCAAAAGTTGGGGAAATGTTTATTGTGCCCGTGGCATAGAGGTTAAGGTAGACACCTTAACATTTTCATGCTTTTGGCTGCATAGATGAATTCAGAAATGCATTAACTTAACTCTTCTCCCATAAGTACAAGCTGGATTTCGAAGGGACAGAGGAACTAGAGACCTAATTGCTAACATGCACTGGATTATGGAGAAAGCCAGTTCCAGAAAAAACATCTACTTCTGCTTCTTGGCTACTCAAAAGCCTTTGACTGTGTGGCCCACAGCTAACTATGGCAAGTTCTTAATGAAATGGGACTGCCTGACCACCTTATCTACCTCCTGAGAAATCTATATGTGGGACAGGAAGCAACAGTTAGAACTGGATATGGAACAACTGATTGGTTCAAAATTGGGAAAGGAGTACGGCAAGGCTGTATATTTTCTCCCTGCTTATTTAACTTATATGCAGAATCTCTCATGTGAAAGTCTGGACTGAAGGAATCTCAAACTGGAATTAAGATTGCCGGAACAAATAAGAAATATCAACAGCCTCCGATATGCAGATGATACCACTCTGATGGCAGAAAGTGAGGAGGAATTAAAGAACCTCTTAATGAGGGTGAAAGAGGAGAGTGCCAACAATGGTCTGACCCTCAACATCAAAAAAAACTAAGATCATGGCTACTGGTCCCATCACCTCCTAGGAAATAGAAGGGGAAGATATGGAGGCAGTGACAGATTTTATTTGCTTGGTCTCCATGATCACTGCAGATGGGAACAGCAGCCATGAAATCAAAAGATGCCTGCTTCTTGGGAGGAAAGTGATGACAAACCTAGATGTATGGAAGTGAGAGCTGGACCATAACGAAGGCTGACTGCCAAAGAATTGATGCTTTTGAATTGTGGTCCTGAAGGAGACTCTTGAGAGTCCCCTGGACTGCAAAGAGAACAAACCTATGCATTTTGAAGGAAATCAACCCTGAGTGCTCACTGGAAGGACAGATCCTGAAGCTGAGGCTCTAATACTTTGGCCATCTCATGAGAAGAGAAGATTCCCTGGAAAAGACCCTGATGTTGGGAAAGTGTGAAGGCAAGAGGAGAAGGGGACGACAGAGGACGAGATGGTTGGACTGTGTTTTCAATGAATTTGACCCAACTCCGGGAGGCAGTGGAAGACAGGCAGTGGTGTGCTCTGGTCCATGGGGTCACGAAGAGTCGGACACAACTTAACGACTAAACAACAATAACAACTCTTCGCTTATGCTGAAATTTTTTATTTTTTAATCCTTGAAGTCACTTGTTGTCTTTTAACAGGGTAGTTCACTGATATATAAGCAGGAACAGCATTTGAATTTACCATACCTGTATTCCTTAACATTTATGTACTGTGGCTTAAAGCAGTGCTAGACAGAAAGGATGTGGGGATCGAGTGATAGATCTGTGGGTGAATGAATTCACAGATTTTCAAGAATTTCTGTCTGCTGTTTGTTTGGCAACAGTAGCCATTAAAAGATTATTTAAAATACAGCAGGCTGCTGAAGTTAAGATAGCATGAGTGAAAGCTAGCTGCAGATTTTTTATTTTTTATTTATTTTTGCTTGAAGGAACTATGAGTTTAATCCGGATGCTGAAATCAAGTGCCAAGGCTGAACATGTATGTATACGGAGGCACCCTGTTCCTTAATTTTGAGGGTTCATTTTTTCCTTGAGCCATTATTTTGCACCTGGTTCTGGCTGGCACCTGTTGAGGCTCTCTAAACCCAAGAGCTGGATCCAATGTTAGTCTCTGTATAAATTGACTTGAAATGAATGGGACTTGTTAGCCACTACTAATGTAGGTCCCAGTATTTTAATGGATCTACTCTAATTGGGCTTATCATTGGATTAGTAGGCCAAAAGTATAACCAAAAGACTGATAGCTAACACTACTCCTCTGAAAAGTTTCTTACATCAATCTTGTAAGATAGAACCTTTGATTGTTCGCCTCAAATTATCCCAGCTTTCATTATTATCTTTACAGTGTGCCCAGAAGATAAATACTGGGAATGTGATGTATTCCTTTGTGTTCACCTCTACATTGTCTTGAAGGGGAGGAAGTAAAAGGGGAAGGGGTAAAACTACCTCAGAGTGCCACACAACAACTGAACATGTTGTCCAAGAGCAGTGTACTGATAAATTTGAAGTGCTAGAACTCATCATGAATGTCTTCAGAGTTACCTCTGAAAGGAAGTTAAGAAATGCAGACAATACTACCACCACCACCCATGTGCCTGGCATGTTTTTAGTAAAGCTAATTGTCCAGTTTTGACCAAGCCATCTGACACACTTAGAAGCAATCTGCTAACCCAGCTAACGAGATTGTTGTGAGGATAAACATAGGGAGAAAAAGCATGTGTGTCTCCTTGACCTCACTGAAGAAAAAAAATACAGAATACCCAGCAAGCTGGGTACTCATTTTACTCATGATGGGTACTCATCATGAATGTCTTCAGAGTTATCTCTGAAAGGAAGTTAAGAAATGCAGACAATACTACCACCACCACCCATGTGCCTGGCATGTTTTTAGTAAAGCTAATTGTCCAGTTTTGACCAAGCCATCTGACACACTTAGAAGCAATCTGCTAACCCAGCTAACGAGATTGTTGTGAGGATAAACATAGGGAGAAAAAGCATGTGTGTCTCCTTGACCTCACTGAAGAAAAAAAATACAGAATAAAAGTACAGCGAGGAAATAGATAAATAACATAACAGAGCATTGGTCCCACCAGTGTCAGTACTTCTGATAACAGGTGAACTGTCCATGGTGCTAAAGGCACCTGTGTCTTTTGTAGGTATTTTTACTCTCCTTCTTGACAGGTCATCTTGGTAAGAATTATCTTTGACACCTTCCTTATTTTTGCTCTCCTTCTGGACAGGTCATCTTGGTAAAAATTATCTTTGACACCTTCCACAAACAAGGAAGGAAGGAAGGAAGGAAGGAAGGAAGGAAGGAACTTTCCTCCATAAAAACCTCATCAATATAATTTTGTTTTTAGTTAATGCAGTGAACCAAATCAAAATCAGTAGACTCTGCAAGTTCAGATGGGGTCCAAGTTTTCCAGATTACCAGTCTTTGCAGGGAGTAGAAGGGGAGAGTTTAGTTTGATCCCTGTTTGAAATTACAATAGGATCTAGAGCAAGCGGTGCCCAGACACTCCTGCCAGCACAATTAGTGGTGGTGAAGACTTCTGGGAGTTGCCATCCAAGAATGTAAGGGAGGGGTGAAGGTTGGGAACTAGTGCTCTAGCATATATAAAAATGTCCAGGATTTATATCTGGATCTTTTGGGAAATATTTTTTTGGAAAAAAATGGTTAAAGATTACAGCAATGGTGGTGATAGATGCCGACATAAGATCATGCATGCATATGTATCTTGTCTTGATGACTCATATCTCATTTTCAGAATTTGCTGAAATTGGTTTAAGCTTAAAGACATCAAACATAAGCCTTTTATGTGACGAACACTCCATGCCAAAATAATTCACGGTAAGCATTACATCTTCTGCTTTTTGCCACTGAATGAGCAGCAAGTAGAGCAGAGGCGAGCAACCTGCTCCCCTCAGCTTGCTCCCATGAGTCCTTCTGCCAAATTTTGAAAGCCTACTTAAAGGGAAGATTTTGACCTCTGCCAAGAGCAATCTGTCCTTTTTCCCAGCAGCCTTCTGGATAGGCAGGAAGAAGGAAAGTGGAAGCAAAAGGAGGAGGGATGTTGGAAGGGAGGGGGAGAGAAAGAGAGAAGGCTATGGTGAAACTAAGAGTGAAAAGGGAGTGGGGGAAAGCAGCAAAAAAGTGAAAAAGAGAGGAAACAACATAATAGAAGGGGGGATGAAAAGGCAGTGACGCCAGGATAAGATTAAGAAAAAGAAAGGAGGAAGAAAGAAAAGGGGATGGAAGAAGTCATAGAACAAAAAGGGAATGGCAGACAGAAAGAAGTAGACAGAGACAGTCAAGTACCCACGAAGAGATCATCACAACATTTTGGAGTGAATGCCCCAGTTCTACCCCAGCCACAATTTGTTGCTGGAAAACAACTGGCAAAGAGGGGAGGAGGGAAAGGCTGGCCTTTTGTTGTCGAGAGTTTCTCAAGTGTCATGAGCATGTCCTCCTTAACCTGTTATGTTTTTGTTGTTTGATTTATATACTGCTGCACATTTCTAGAGCACTCTCTGGGTGATTTGCTACATAATTATACAACTTGCCCCCAGTGAGCTGGGTACTCGGTTCACTGACCTAGGAAGGATGGAAGGCTGGCTCATCCCTGAACTGGCTACCTGAACCTGTCCGGATCAAACATGTGCAAAATTGGGGTGAAGAGTAACGGAGTGAGATGTACGTTACTCATTTAGGAAGAACAAGCTTCCACTGTGATATTGTTTGCAATCAATGATCTTGACACAGAGCATGCTTTCTCCCCCCTACTCTCCCCCCCCCAAAAAAAGTGCAGAGTGTGAAAAGGCCAGGTCATGAAGTGTCTGAACCTGCTGTGGGTTTGCATCTAAAATAAAGGGAATGTTGACAGTAAATTCAGTGGCATCGCCCACAGGCCCAGTGGGAATAGTCTTATGTTCTTGCATTGTCTCTTCCTTCCTTGCTAAGTGCTGTAATTGCACGTCTCACTTCCAGACCTGCCAGGAGTTCTTTAAGTGTTAATAATATACTTGGCTGGTTGTGTGTCTGCCAGGCCTGGCTGTATTTTAATTACAGTACACACCATTGTGCTGTTTCAGTCTCAGTAACAATCATGTTGCTTTTGTGGGGATGAGGGTGGCAGCAGGGGATCCATCTATGACTACTACGTATATGTACCATCCAGTTTGTAAATATTTATTTATTTATTTATTTATTTATTTATTTATTTATTTATTTATTTATTTATTTATTTATTTTTACCACGCCTTTCTCCTAAAAAAGGACCCAAGGTGGCTTCCATCATTAAAGAACAATATTTAAAGCTAAAAATAGTAAATTTACAAATATTAGAACGGGCCAAATACCGCACTACAACACAGTATACAAACACAACACCCAAAACACATTCAAAGCTGTAAGGCACAACGATCCATCCAAAAACCCCACTCAGGCAGCCAGTCACTGAAAGAAAGCCTGCCTGAAGAGAAAGTTCTTCACTTGCTCACAGAAGGACAGCAAAGATGGGGCCAGTCTGGCCTCTTGTGGGAGGGAGTTCAAAAGTCAAGGAACAAACCCCTGTACACCTTTGGATATGCATAAAAGTCTATGGTGATGTTCTGAATGGGTTATATACATGACCCTAGTACCAGACGGACGTACCAGCACCTCAGTAGGCCAGCCCGCTGAAGATGTGTGAGAGACAGTTGTTGTATATGACTTGTTATGATTGTGTCTATCATCAGGATTTGTTATGCTTTGTATTGTCTGTTATTGTTAGCTGCCCTGGGCATCCTACAGAGAAAAGTGGGATACAACGTTAACAAATCATAGCTAAATATGTCTGCCATTTAGAAACACACACTTATGCTCGACAGTGCATTTCTGTACATGTATCTGTGTAGTCTTTTATTTATACTACATGTGTACCACAAAGAGTGTGCACATGGGTGTTCATGGGTGCTCTCTGGGTCTTTCTGCTGGAGCCCTGGTTTTCCCACAATTTCTTTCATGTTTTTTCCTAAGGGGACATTAGAAGATGTTGAACAGATAAGCAAACAGTGAGGACTGCAACAGTGGCGATGGAAAGGGGAGAGGATTTTTTTTTGGCTTCATAATCACCATGACAACCAGTCGGAAAGAACCCCAGAAATCCCATTCTGTCGCCTTGGCCAATCCTGGCCTTTCCCAGAAGGAAGAAAGGAAGAGAGCTGAGTGTAGATGAAGGGAAGGGACAAAGGACTGCAGCTAAAAAGAGCAGTCTGGTTAGTTCAGAACATAAGGAGGCAGGCAGGTGAAAGAGGGAGGTGAGAGGGTAATTTCCCTCCCTCATCCCTGTTGCAACAGGGGCTTAATTTGGGCAGTGACCACCACTAGGTGTCACTGCTTCCTTAATTTTATGTCAGTAAGCCCAGGGCAAGGCCATCTACATATGGCCTTGGATATTTCATCCAGTTCCACCACTACCACCCCTGCCAGTCCCTCATAAAACCAACTGTGGGTACCCCAAATAGGTATGTGCTCTTTGAGCACTCACAGATCATTCCTCTGCTCTTAGGGTTCCCACCTTTCCCCTCACAGGTCTTATGCTTTCAACAGCCATAAGACAGGCAAAACTCAAACAGGTGAAGCTGTTGCTATCCCAGAGATACAGAAAAATGGAGAAGTTTCCTAAAAGTCTCCCGTGTACATCCATGTTTTGGCCTTAACGGGGGAAGAAGATGGGGAAGAAGAGGGAGCAGCCTGACTTGCTGTGTCGCCATGTTTGATGTTTTGGCATTTCTCAAAGCAGTTTCCAGCCTCCTCCTCTAAACATTGTGGTCTCCCCAGTTGTGACCCATCCAAAATATTAGGAGCCCCCACAACCTTGTGTTGCAATTAAGTTGAAAATAAGGGGGAAAAATTCCTCTAAGCCTAAATATCATGAGGAGATGGATCCAATGACAGAAGGCCATGGACTAGAAGAAATGTCACTGCAACCCACATCCAGCCTATCAGCTACCTATTCTAGAGTATAACAGGATTCCATTTCTAAGTATTGTCCTCCAAGGCAAGTCCAGAGTTGCTTCTGGGTATTTTTTAAACTTCCCTAAGCTAAGTCCTAATAATATTCCCTGTGGCCCTCCTATGCAACATCTAGCTGAAGGCACTGCGCCACTAGGTTCATGTTTTCAAGTGACAATGGTGAAAAGTTCGGAAAGCAAAGTATAAAAATATATCTAGGCTGGGCAACTCACGCCCTTCCACGAGTTACTGGACTGCAACTCCCATCAGCCCTAGCTAGTGGAGCCAACAGTAAGGGATGGCAGGAGTACCACTGCAACAATATATGCAGGGACACAAGCTCCCTATCTCAATCATCATCATCATCATTCAAAAATACCAGGCATAGTCAATCAAAATTATAAAAACATTGACTTGTGTTATAAATACAAGTTTTAACCAAAAACCTAACTATCTGTTAAATACCAGCTCAGTATGTACGTTGTTCCCAATACAGTATTGCCATTTTTTTGTAGCTCAGGTCAATTCTGGCTTATGGAAGTCCTTTTCAGGGTTTTCTAGTTTCTCAGAAGGGGCTTACAATTTCTTTCCCTTGGAGGTGCCCTGCCCAAGGCAGCCTGCCCAAGGTCACAAAACCTTGTTCTACTCACAGGAGGTACCGTGGGGAATCGAACTCCCAACATCTGGTTCCACAGCCAAATAAAGAATATCTCACATTGACTTGTGTGAAAGCTTGCTCACCACTAACTTCCAAAGTCGGGTATGCTATCCATCACTAAGCAAATTTTATGCTTCTTTTTTCCAATAGCAAAAATGAACAAACAATGCAATGCTATTTCATGTAAGCTTGATGATATTCACAAAAACTGTGGTTTTTCAGAAATTAAAAATATCTCACCCATTCCACCTCTTCCTCATGATGAAAGGAATCCAATGAGATATCTGCGACCTTTGAAAGTAAATTACAGGTTTTAAATTTCTTAAAGAGTGCTGCAGCTGATGACATAATCAGCCTTACATGGCATAAGTTCTACTACCAGATTTTCAGCTTATATACGACTATTCAGAGGTAAGGCCCATTTAATTCAACTGGGCTTACTTCTGCAGATATGCGAGTAGCATAGCATCCTTAAGCATTTTTCATATATAATCCAGTAGCATGCACCTATACCTAAGATTGTCATTCGTGAGAGTTTGTTCTAATTAGGGCTGCACAGTAGACTGCTTAAAGTCATGGGGAATCCCTTTATAGTTCTGCAAATATATGTATCTTAAACATATCTGGCAACTTTACTATGTTCAGTGCTAATGGTAAAATACGGGTCATTGGACAGATTTCTTTATTTGTTTATCCAATGCATTATTTTATTAACCACCTTTCTAGTTCAAAATACAAATGGGCTTTTGTAATATCTAAAAAATATAGCAACAAATTGACTTTGACCACTAAAATCACAAATTAAACTCCATTAACATACCCTGAAAATTGTTAGCAATGGAATGAAATATTTCAAGAAACAGGAAATGGCTAACTACAAAGATCCTGCTGGAGAAAGTCTATTTTAGATGTCTGTCTAAATGCAAGAAGAAGAAGAAAATAGGTATTCCATAATATTACATCAGAAAGGTATTAGCACACTTCCCATTGTAGTTATTATTACGCACATATTTGTGTGTATATGCACTAGAACCATGAGGCATTTTGCATTTCAAGGAGGGAGAAAATTAGTAGAATGCCACAGCACCTGCATACATGCATGTATACACACAAACACACACACACACACATGTGCACAGATACAAACATCACCCTAAAAGGGAAAAAATCAAGTCAGGGATTTGCCAGATATAAATGG